ATCTCCATATATTATAGGCTTAACCCAGGGCACCAGGGGGCAACTCACAGAGTGGGAAATGAAGCCTGTAGGAACACAGAAATTAGCCCCTCTAGTCCAAGGTCCAGCACTAGATGCATCAGAGGAAGAGGGTGTCAGCATGGGTGGGATAAGCAATCTCCCCTGATCTCTAATAGTTAGAGTGGCTTGAAGCGTGAGGATTAACATCCCTTCCAACCAGTACATCAGAGAGGAAGGACGGTCCAGTGTTTAGGGCACTAGGGCTAGGACTTGGGAGACCGGTGCTTAGCCTCTCTGTGCCTCGGTTCCCCCTTTGGCAAAATGGAGGTAAGGAATATCCCTACCTCGCAGGGATGTTGTGAGGAGAAACAGGGCTGGCTCCAGGGTTTGGGCCGCCCCAAACAAACAAACAAAAAAGCCGCGATCGCGATCTGCGGCGGCAATTCGGCGGGAGGTCCTTCACTCCAAGCAGGAGTGAGGGACCGTCCGCCAAACAGCTAGACGTGCCTCCCCTCTCTGCAGTGGCCGCCCCAAGCACCTGCTTGGTAAGCTGGTGCCTGGAGCCGGCCCTGAGGAGAAATACGGTAAAGATGGCGCAGCGCTTTGCAATCCACTGATGCAAAGTGGTGTGTAAAAGTTAGGTGTTTCCACTCTGGAGCCGTATAAATATCCAGGCTTTTTTTGACATCATGTGGCAGGAAGTTCCACAGGCTCATTACCCTGCTTGCAAAAGTGTTCCCTTGTGTTGGCTTGCCACCTTTCAATTTCATCCAACGTCCCCTTGCTCTTGTGCCACAAGGCCAGGAGAATGGAAGCGCCTGATCTCCCTTCTCTGGACCACTCAATATTTTATAGGTTTCTATCATGTCCCCGCTTATGCCTCTCCCAAGGGAAGCAACCCTGATCTTTTCAATCTCTCTCCACGGGAGAGTTTTTCCAGGCCCTGGACACAGCCCCATGCTCGGGACAACCCTAAATCTCTGGCTGCCAGAAGCCAGGAGGGGAAGACGGGTGGATTTCTCAATAAATGCAACATCATGAAGACGGTGGCTCTTCTGGGAGCCTCCCGAATCTTTAAAAATACGAACAGTGGTACCAGTCTCTCATCTGCAGGAGATAAGCACAATGGGGGTGTGTGTGGGCGCTCGCTCTGCGTGACGATCATACGGGAAGGAAGCTGGGGTTTTGTATTCAGCTCTGATCGTGCCAAGGCCTGAGGCCCCTTATCTCTTGTGGCAGAGAGTTCCACAGGTCCGGGTCCTCAGACAGCTCTGTCTCTCACTCGGGCCCCTCCCCCCCCCCTCCGCTGTTGGCTGACAGTTTCAGCATCCAGGTGAGATAGGAACATGGTGATAATTAAAAAGAATAATTAACTTGTCGTCAGTAGCTCTCCAAGCGCTGTGCAAAGGAAGCCAGGATCTGTAGCCCCATTTGGCAGCTGGGGAAACCGAGGCATGAGGCATAAAAATGACTTGCCCAAAGTCATCCAGCAGGCCAATGGCAGAGCCCAGATCTCTTCAGTCCTGGTCCGGAGCTCTGGCCACTAGGCCGCACTGTCAGATTTCACAGTCACGAGGGGCTCATCTGGCCTTTAGGCTCAGTGGAGAGCCAGGGCAGAGATCCAGGCACTGGGGTGGCATGTTCCCAGCGAGCCACGTTCTCCCCAGCTAGGACACCCTAGATACAATGAGATGCACTAGGCACACAGGGAAAGGGGCCACCATGGCCAGGACTGTGTCCAACGGGGCTTGGGGGGGGTCTTCCAGCCAGCAGGAGGTGGGAGTGGGTGCTTCTGCTCCGCAGAACCCCAGGGCTGGAGAGGGAGTTGGCAGGTGACAGCATCGGTCCAGGGGATGCCAGGGGGTCCGTGAGCTCCTGCTTCCTACTGACCAGGGCTCGGATCCCTGGGGGGTGCTGCAGCTGACATTGGAAGCCGAAAAGGGGCGAGTGGGGCGTCGCCCCCGGCCCGTGACGTCCCACCTGCCCTCCCCCTGGTTCTCTTTGGCCACGTGGCAATGGGAATCAGGCCACACATGTGCCTAAGCAGCCGGCTGCTTTTGAGGCCTCTAACTGTGAATTTAAGGGGGCTGATTTTTAGCACCCCGCCACCCCCAAGATTTGCAGATGTTGCCTTTGAGCTCTCTGCCTCGGTTTCTCTATCGGTACATTGGGGATGGCCCGCTGCGCCTTTGTGAAACACCCTCTGAGCCTTGGCTGAACCCAGGCCTAGTCACTTCCCTGCTCTGTGCCTCGGTTTCCCCATCTGTAACACGGGGCTAACGATCGCTGGGTGGTGGTATTCCGTGACTGCAGAGTGTGTTGTTATTACCGGGAATACAAAAGGCCTCATTCCGTCCCTGGATCCGCTAATAACAGGGCCTCGGCGATTGCTAGGCCCCTGCCCGGGTGCTTTCCCCAGTGACCGCGCGGGTGTGTGGGGGGAACACTGGTACCGCTCATATAAGGGCAGGGCAGGGTTCGAACTACCCCAGCCCCACCCCGTTAAGGATTGACAGTCACAGGGGGTGGCTCGGAGTGGGGGCGAGGCTGCCCATTGTCAGGAGCCAGCGTTGGAAAGGAAGCGGGAGGTGGGTGATGGAGCTCGCTGGGTCTGAATGGGAATCGTTTTTAATCCCCCCCCCCCGTCAGTGGGGATATTCAGGTGCAATTAGCATTAATTAGCCCCTGTCACCGGCAGTCTCTGGAGAAGGCTGGGGGGGCTGTGGGGACTGAAAAGGGTGTGTGGGTGGGTGTGTGGGTGCTTTTACCCCGTCCTGTTCTGTGCCTGTGCCCAGAATAGAGAGAGGCCCCCTCTCTGTGCTGTCAATCAGCCCCCCCCCCCCCTTAGGCCGCTTAACTGTAGGGAGAGGTTTCCCCTCACTTAAAAATTGCTTAAGTTCCAATTCCTCTGCCGCCCCGCCCCAAATCCCCTGTGATCTCAGGCAGGGCTGGCTGGGTCAAGTCCCTGTTCCAGCTGATTTGGCGAAGGGATTTGAACCAGCCTCTCCCCGCATCTGGCTGCACAGTCAGAATCTGTCCTGCCCCAGCGGTTCCATGGGGTATGAAGCGTTCAATGGCCCTCAGGCCGGCGCTCTAGCCCCGGGAGGAGGGAGACCCAGCTGCACAGCCCTGAGCTAGACTGGAAGCCAGGTCTCTTGCTCCACGTCTGGCAGAGTGGGGATTTGAACCTGGGTCTCCCAGCTGAACATTTCGGGTTTCCAAACTTCCTGCCCAGCTCTGATCTCAGGGGAGCCCCATGTGGGGGGAGTCAGGGATCTGGGGCATCTGGGGCAGGGGCGGAGATGAGGGCCGTGCAGGACGGTGGAGAGAGGGAGGCAGGTGTATGGGGACAGACAGATCAGTGAGCGCTTTAGAGACTTAAAACAAGTCGGGTGTAAGGATTCATTAGGTTCTGTTTGTACAGCGCCTGGCACCACGGGAGACATTACCGTAATACAGCTAATAGTGTACAGCGTGTGGCACAATGGAAACCATTACCATAATACAGCTAATAGTGTACAGCGCCTGGCACAATGGG